GCACCCAGTCACAGTGGCCACATCTACACAAGACACTGACTACGCAGTCATTTAGTACTTGTATAAATGTTTAGTACTTAAATAGTAACCAGAGTTACTGCACTGTTGTGCCAAGGAATGGCTCTTTCGTGATGCTTCTTGACACATGATGCTACTGCACAGTCAGTGTCTCATGTAGACAGGGCCAGTAAGAATGAATAAACACTGATCTGACAACAGTCACACACAAGCCTGTGGCACAACACTTTAACCTCCCTGGACATTCCATCACTGCTCTCAGAGTAGCTGTTCTTAGACAACAACACTTTAAAAACAAACTTGAATAGAAAACTGTCGAACAAGAAATCATCCACAGACTGGAGCGTGTTAAGTAGGGTCTCTACCAAGAACATGAATTCTTAGCTTTTATTTTTTTACCTGGATTTGCTTTTATAACCCTATTTATAACTCTATGTCCCTCAATGAATTAACTCCATTGCTTTTTTATTTCCTGCCACCTTGCTTCTTCTAGCAGTGCCCCCTCCTTTTTCCTGCCCCTTTCCCTTCCATGATCTTTGTATTCTAATCAGTTTTCAGTCTAGAAGCTCTGATGCCTTCAGTTCCTTCATAGCATCTGATTAGGTAAGCCACTGCTTATGAAATCTTAAGCATCTCTGATTTAGTTAGTTTATAAGGTGCAAATCTACCTTGTCTTCTGCCTCACTTCAGATTAACACAGCTAACTACCTCTCTGCACACAAGAGGGCAGTGTTCTATCACTGCAAAACAACTGTATGCACCACTGAGCTTAGTTCTCTTCTAGTAGGGTTGGGGGGAAAGTAGAGTGATGGAGGTCATTTTCTTTTACTTCCTGTGAAGATTTTAGGTTGAATTTTGCTTCTATTGAAATCAGCGTAGAAAACAACCCTGACTGCAGTCAGTTTAGAAATTGATCCCATAAGTATAGTTCTAATTATATTTCTGTGATTCACCTTGTGAGGGAAGAACTTACTTTCTCAGCTTGATAGACCATGTAACCATAAGCTTCTCTTCCAATACAGAAACTCTGAAAAAGAAGCCCTACAGTAAGTTTGGCATAAAAATGTACAGTGGTTTATTTAATTATGTAGCTGCTCTGATATTGTTTTCTGTAGACTACACCTACAGATCCAAGCACTGTTCACACTGCAGAGACCAGCAGCCATCTAGTTCAGTTCAGTGAAGATCAACATCAGTCTTACAGGAAGTCAACCTAGATATGTTCATCTTTTTTCTTCTTCATTTAAATTAAAACCCTCACTGTCTGTATGGGTTCATTTGCTCTGATCAGTGGCTAAACCTAACTTCTGCTACAGAAAATTGGTTTTCAAACCTCCTTCCTCAACTGCATAGCAGTTACACCAGATACTCTTTAGGGCTCATGACATTTTTCACACAACCTGGACCCTGAAAGCACTCTCCAGCCATGACCTAGCACATGTGCATGACTGCAGAGTGCTTCTAAAATGGCTGATTGTGCAAAAAAATCACCCTAGTCTATCAGGTAACAGGTTAAAGCATTCTGCTTTATAGCACCTTAGAGAACCTGTGTTTCTTCGAGGGTTAATTTTTCAAACAGGGGCACGGCTGTCTGTGGAGAAGGAGTGAGGAAGCAGCAGCAGCTACAGAGCTGCTATGGCCAGCCTAACCTGGGGGAGGGGGGCTGTGGATCGGATCAAAGCCCACCCACCTCATGCCCTGCCCCCACCCCTCAGGTACCCTGGCTAGAGTATTGGGGAGAGCTGGGCCAGGCCCCCAAGGTGAGGGGACTCCATTCCACCCTGCACCCCCAGCTCCAGCCAGGCTTCAGTAGCTACTGGGCAAGCCTGGCCCGAGCTAGAGGAGGGAGGAGGAGTGGAACAGAGCCCCCTCACCTGGGGGCCTGGCCCAGCTCCTCCCCAGTACTCCAGTCAGGGTACCTGGGAGGGGGCCACAAGGCAAGGGGCTCCATTTCACGGCCCCCCTCCCCTCCAACTTAGGCCAGGCATAGCAGCCCCACAGCTGCTGCTCCCTTCACTCCCTCTCCGCTGACAGCCCCAGAGCTGGGAAGATGGGGCAAGGCTGGGAAGAGTGGCGGTCCTGGCCAGCACCCCCTCCTGCTATCAAGGACAGCCAGTGCAGGCAGGCTCGATTCTACCCCAACCCAACAGGCAAGCATCTGTTTGGTCAGGAGTGGTGGCACTCTAACTCATGACACTTTATGTAAAACGATTTGAGTTAGAGTGGGGTCCTGAATGTCTGTCAGCACCCTTAGCCTAAATGAGCATATTAGAAGAGTCACTCTTACAGGTCTAAATAGATAAATATCCCTTAGTATTTCTTGATATACTATTTTACTGGTCTGTTCTCTTTTGCCCTATTCTTTAACTATAAATTGAGGGGAAAAGTTGCCGCCCTAAGTTCTTAGCATAGCGAATGAGCATACATATCACTGTTGTTGACCGTGGCCATCCAGACCAACCAAGAACACACAGTGTAGTTGTACTGAAGTCATTTATTCCTGGTGTCACAGGGCACCATCTCCAGGGGTGGCCGCAAAGCCCCAGCAGCCCAAAAATTCACCATATTTCACAGTGTGTAAGTTGAGTTTTAACTCTCAAAACTTTTAACTCTTAAAATTCATCCTTGGCTTATACACCATATCACTGTCCTCTGAGAGTGGTGCCAGGTTCAAGTGCAGAGCACCAAACCCAGCCCCATCCTCTGTGAGTGGCTCCAGGCACCTGTGGGGTGGACACATGCCTCAGCACTGCTCACAGGGAATGGGCCAGGCTCGTCACTTGGCTGGCACGGCCCCACCCCTTGCAAGTGGTGCTGCCTGGGCTGCCCCAGTCAAGCACCAAACCCAGCACTGCCAAGCACTGAGCACAGCCCCACCCCCTGCAAGCAGCACCAGGCTCAGCACTCAGCTGGCGCAGCCCAGGCAGCACCGCTCGCAGGGGATGGGGGCACACCAGCCAAACACCAAGCCCAGAACAGCTCGCAGGAGATGGGGATGGGGGGTGAGGCTGGGCTTGGCATTCAGCTGGCGCACCCCAACCCCCTGCAAGTGGCACTAGGTCACACCAGCCAAGTGCTGAGCCCGGTCCCATCTACTGTGAGTGGTGCTGCCAAGAGCCGAGCCCAGCACCACTCTCAGAATACAAGGCTGGGCTTGGTGCTCAGCAGCGACAGACTCACTGCTTGGCTGGCATGGCCCCATCCCCTGCAAGCAGCTCCGGGCTTGGCACTCAGCTGGCACAGCCCAGGCAGCACCACTTGCAGGGGATGGGGCCATGCCAGCCAAGTGCCGAGCCCAGCCCCATCTGATACAAGGTGACACTTCCTAGCGCCGACCATACCACCACTCACAGGAGATGAGGCTGAGCTTGGCACTTGGCTGGTGTGGCCCAATCCTTTGTAAGCTGCACTGGGCTCAGCACTCAGCTGGCACAGTCCAGGCAGCATCACTTGCAGTGGATGGGGCCGCACCAGTCAAGCACTGAGCCTGGCCCCATCCCCTGTGAGCAGCGCTGTGGCACATGTCCACCCCCTGGGTGCCTAGTCCACAGTGAGGGCACACAGGGACCAGTATAAGTCAACCCCATATTTCTGAACCAACAAGTTAGGTTGATTTAAACACCAGCTCTATGAAATTCCTAACTTTTTAGAGCAGAAAAATGGGGTCAACTTATATACTGCATCGACCTATACACCATGAAATACAGTATTGCATTCTGCTCTACGGTTGCCATTAAAGTATGGGAGGTTGCCTCGGTCTTATCTGAATTGACCACTACGCATTTGTGGTCAGTGCCTTATGGATTAATTGCATGACTCCAACCCATCCCTACACCATGCCCCAAGCCTCACAGGTGTCATTTCTCATAGATGTTCTCTCCTTATGCACTCAGCACCTCCCTGCACCATCAAACCTCTTGGTCTCTTGCTAGCCCCCTCTAAGCCCTCAGACCCCTCTGTCTCTCACCCAGCCCTCCTTTGGACTGTCAGACCCCTTGGTCTCTCACTCAGTCCCTTCTTTGGGTTCTCAGATGCTTCAGTCTCCCAACCCAACTCTGGGCCTCTAGACCCTTCTGGTCCTACTCTTTCTCCAGGCTCCACCTTTCCCTGTTGGCCCCCCCTCTCAGCCACACTGGGCTTACAGTAAACACAATGAGAATGGCAACTTGGTCAAGATGTCTGTTGAGGCATACCACCTAAGCCTGATCCATGACTCAAAGCTACCTGAGTCTTCCAATGGAGACAAAGCTATAATCCAGACCTGACCTTTGATGACAGCAAGTTATGTGCAAAAAAGACATGTTGGAACCCATTCCCCATGCATAGCACAGACCAATCACTATCAGTGTCACAGCAGCCATGACTCCAAATACGTACCAATACGTAAACACTTCAATGAGATAAAACTTCATAGTCCCTGTTTAAACCATTCTTAACACAGTCCAGTTTGTGAATGATTTCTCATTCCTCAATTTCCAGTTTTTAAAATTGGAAAGCAGAGGGGCACTGTAAGCAGAGGGGCACTGTAAGCAGGTGGTGGCATATATGACATTGGTAAAGCTTTAGGTGAATGAGGCTTGAATATTGTACTCCTTGGGTGTATCTATATGTGCAAGTAATGCTCAGAAATGTTACTGCACAGTAAAATACTGCACAGCTTTCCCTGAGTGCACATCTATACATGTGCCTGTTAGGAAAAAAAATCTGCTCCTAATGGGAGCAGATCAGGGCAGGGATATTCTTGCCCTGCTCTGCTACTATACGGCAGCCAGAGGGATCTTTAGGTTCCCCCAGGTGCCAGCTCCAGGCTGGCAGGGCACATGGTGTCAGGTCTGGGCTCTGCAGGGTGGTGGAGCTGTCCCAGCTCCAGGGCAGCCTTTTCCCACCTGCCCTGAAGCTGTCACTCCTGCCCCAGGTAGCTGCCTGCTACCCAAACCCTGATCTGATTCTGGGGCTGGGCAGGGACAATGTCTGCTGCCCCCAGAGCAGGCAGCTCCCAATCCCCAGCTCCAAAATCAGAGCCAGGGACTGAGACATTGCCCCCTACCCCCAGCAGCTGCCTGCTGCTGGGGCATGGGGACATTGTCCCTGCCCTGGCTACATGATCAGAGCTGGCCCTGGCAGCAGGCAGCTGCTGGGGGCAAGGGGAAATATCCCAGCCCCTGCCTCTGATCTCAGAGCTGGGGCCAGGAGCTGCCTGCTACAGGGGTAAGAGGACATTGTCCCTGCCCTAGCTCTGTGATTGGAGCCAGCCCCAGTAGGAGGCAGCTGCCTGGGGCAATGTCCCAGCCCCTGGCTCTGGTTTTGGAGCTGGAGCCTGAAGCTGGCTCCTGCATGGGCAAGGGGACATTTTATCTGTCCTAGCTCCGTGATTGGAGTCAGCCCTGGCAGCAGGCATCTCCTGGGGGAGTGGATTGTTCTCCTACCCCCTGCTGCCCAGGCTGACCAGGAGTAATTTGTTGCCCCTCCCCCCGCCCCACCCCCAGGGGGCCTCTGCAGCCCAGCAGGCAGAATGCAGCAACACAGGACACAGAGGGACCAGGCAGGGAAGCTTGTTGCCACCGCTGGGTGCTCTATGCCATCATAGCATCTGGCACCAGCAGGGGGCACAACTCTGTGCTGCCACCACAGGTGCTGCCAGATAGGCTGGGGGCACCTCGCCAGGGCAGCATAGGGCTCATAGATTTCATAGACATTAGGGCTGGAAGGGCCCTCGGAAGATCATCGAGTCCAGCCCCCTGCCCAAAGGGCAGGAAGTCAGCTGGGTTCATAGGATCCCAGCAAGATGAGCATCCAGTTTGCTATCGAAGGTGTTCAATGTAGGCGCTTGAACCACCTCCGGTGGCAGGCTATTCCAGACCTTGAGGGCTCGGACAGTAAAGAAATTCTTCCTTATGTCCAGCCTGAAACGGTCTAGTAGTAGTTTATGACCATTCGACCTAGTCGTCATCCCTTGGGGCGCTCTGGTGAATAAACGTTCCCCCAGATACTGGTGGTCACCCCTGATAAATTTATAGGTGGCCATCAGATCACCCCTGAGCCTGCACTTTTCCAGGCTGAAGAGTCCCATAGCTCTCAGCCTGTTGTGGTAAGGTCTGTTTTCCTGACCTCTGATCATGCGCGTGGCTCTTCTCTGGACTCTCTCAAGCTTCTCCACATCCTTTTTGAATTGTGGAGCTCAAAACTGGACGCAGTACTCCAGCTGTGGCCTCACTAAGGCCGAGTACAAGGGGAGAATGACGTCCCGGGATTTGCTTGAGAAGCATCTATGGATGCAAGCCAGCGTTTTGGTCGCTTTACTAGCCGCAGCATCGCACTGCAGGCTCATGTTCATCTTGTGGTCAATGATGACTCCCAAGTCTCTTTCTTGCATAGTGCTAGCCTCAAGGTGGTGGGAACGAACTTCAACACTCCACTCCACTCTACCCTGCTATGCCAGGTCTCACAGGCTGGGCCATGAAGGCTCCACAGGGAGGGCAGCATGGCAGGGAGCTCAAGGCCACAGTGGGCAGTCCACCCCTGCCCCATGAACAAATCTGGGAGGCACGTGCCCCCATGTCCCCCCTGGGAGTGTGCACAGTGGTGGGGAGCCAGCCCCCACCCCCCATCTCCCCCTGACAAGCCACCTACATCTCCATCCCACTCCTGGGCCCAGGCCCTGCAGCCTCGCATTCCAGCCCTGGGCCCCAAGCCCCATGCATCACGTGGGCTGGCAGCAGCCCCAGCCTTAGTCCCAACCCCAGCCCTACCTAGCTCCCTTCTGCCCTCACCATGGGGGCCTCAATTCTTCCCCCCACCCCCACCAGACTTACCTGCAGGGAGCTGCTTTCCAGGCTGCCTGACAGCCATATGTATGTGTACATATGCACATGAGCCCCTATTGATCACACTCCTCCCACTCCCCCCAGCGCCTTGCAGCCTGAAATTCTACCAGCCTGCACAGGGAAGCCCACCATTTCCCCCTTCTTTCTCCTTAAAAGGAGAAAATTCAGGATTTACCACATTTTTCCATGATGGATGGAAAACCCAGATACCTGGTAATAAGTAAAAGTTTCTTGGTCTAAGTTCCCAGGGGGTGGAAGCAGTAATCCTCTCCTGTGTTTCCAGAGGCAACTTTTTATGAGTTTATTTAGATCTTTCCTGTATTGTGCTATGGGGTCTTCTGTCAGGAGCTGGTAAAACTGTATGTAAAAAGTTGTCTCTTGGTTTAGGCTTACTGCACAATAAAAATACTGCACAGTAAGCCTACCCGGGAGTGTATTTACATGTGCTCCCTCTTGGGAGCAGATTTGCTGCTCCCACCCTGCTCTGCCCCACTGCAGCAGCCAGAGGGAGCTCCAGGCTCCCCCTAGGTGCAAGCCTGGGGGCTGACAGGGAGCACAGGGCTGGTGCCCATGTGCACAGCACCAGAACAGCTCTGCCAGCAGCAGCTGTCTGCTGCCCCATACATGTTGGGAGGAGTCCTGATGTGCATAGGGCCATGCAACATCTGCTGCTGCAGAGCTCGCCCACCCCATGGACATGGGGAGAAGCCCCGTACCCAGCAGGGCTTCCCCACACAGCTCTGGGATGGTCAAGAACTGCCCCGTTCTGGGACAGGCCCCAGTCAGCGCTGGGCTGCATGAAGAGTGCTCTGTGCAGCCCACAATTGGCTGGGAACTGTCCCAGTCTGAGGCAGGTCCCACCCAGCTCCAGGCTGCACACCATGAAGCCTGGACCTAGCTGGGACCTGACTCTTCCCCACAGCCCTTTCCCAGCCCTGTGCCCCAATTGGCCAATCAGGGCAGGGGGCTGGGAATGAGCTGTGGGAGATGGAACTTTTCCAGCCCTCTGCCCCAATCAACCACCTGGGCATGGGGCAGGGAAAGCGCTGCAGGGATGGGGAATCTTTCCCAGCTCCCTGCCCTGATCTGCCAGTAGGTCAGCTACCAGCGAGCCCCCAGATGGCAGGGGTTTCCCAGCCCAGCCGGGGACTTACTGCTAGCTGCCCCACTGGTGGGACAGCTCCTGGCCACTCCTAGCCCTACTCTAATGGCAGCAGGGATTCCCCAGGGGCTAGGGGTCTGCTGCTTTCTTCCCCAGGCTGAGCAGGGAAGGAAGAGCTCTCCAGTCCTGGTGCTGCTCAGCTCCCCACTCCTGTGGGGAGCCAGGATGGGGAGCGGGGCAGAGAGCAACCCAGTCTCCATGCTGATTAGCTCCCAGGGGGAGCCAGGAGCTGAGGAGCACCAGGACTGGTCCCCCTGCTGGTGTAGCTGACCGGGAGCAAATTTGCTCCCAGTCAGCATCTATACTAGTCTGCACAGTTAGTTTAGTACCTGTATTTAGCTTATTAACATGGTTTCTACATGACGCTTTACTGCATAGTAGATTAGTCTACTGCACAGTAAAGCACCTTTTGCAGACACACCCACACTGTTTTGTCCATGACAATCGTGGCACCCCCGCTTGTCAACTTGTTGTCCAATAATGTCCATGCTATTTTTAAAGCTGAGCACAGCCCTCCATTCTGCAAAACTGAAATTGTAGTGTAAAGTTGTTGCATTTTGGCAACCTTGGACTGGGCAGAAGCAGTTTATATATGGGCCCAGATTAGGCCAGCAGACTTCAGGTGGATTCCAGGAGCTGTCTTTCTTTTGTGCCATGTATGGATCCAGTCTGTGGCAGGCTGATCATCATGGCAAGGCTCCTCATCATGGAAACTGTCATCAGTCCCTTGATTCAAGGCTGATCTCTACTACAGCTCATTGATGGGTCTTGAGGTGGTTTAAGAGTCCAATACTTGAGAGGCAAATCCATTCACAGAAATTGTAGGTCTTTTCATAGATAAAGTAAACCATAGCCTGGGATTTTTCTCCTTTTCCTTCCTGAATTCTCTCTTCTCTGCTTTAAGCGCAAGACACTTTACTGCATAGCATGCTTCTCTTTGGTTTAGGTTGATCCCCTGGGAGGCCCATCTGAGGGGGAAGGTTGTCCAGGAGAGCTGGTTGTATTTTAAAGAACCCTTATTGAAGGCACCCTCAGTGGTGAAAGAACAGGTTAGGGACTATTTAGAAAATCTGGACATGTAGGAGTCCACGGGACCAGATACAGTGTATATGAGGGTGCTGAGGGTGTTGGCTGATGTGGTTGCAGAGCCACTGGCCATTATCTTTGAAAACTTATGGTGACTGGGGGAGGTTCTGGATGATTGGAAGAGGGCAAATATATCTTTAGGAAAGAGAAGAAAGGGGATCCAGGGAACTACAGACCAGTCAGCCTCACCTCAGTCCCTGGAAAAAATATGCAGCAGGTTCTCAAGGAATCCATTTCTAAGCTCCTGGACGAGAAGAAAGTGATCAGATACAAGCAGCATGAATTCACCAAGGGCAAGTCATGCCTGACCAACCTGATTGCCTTCTATGATGAGATGACAGGCTCTGTGGATTTGGGGAAAGCAGCGGAAGTGACGTACCTTGACTTTAGCAAGGCCTTAGATACAGTCTCCCACAGTATTCTTTGAAGCAAGCTTAGGAAGTACAGGTTGGATTTTTGGACTGGAAGGTGGATAGAGCAGTAGCTGGATCGTCAGGCTCAATGGGTAGTGATCAATGTCTCAATATCTAATTGGCAGCTGGTTTCAAGTGGAATGCCCCAGGGATTGGTCCTGGGCAAGTTCCCTCTAAGGTGTAGCGATCCATGAGTGCGCCACTTCAGTCCGTGAGCATGCTGCTTCAGTCCCACCTCTCCCTTTCGGAGCACCGCTTCGGAAACTACAGGTGCCTGAGGGGCACTTTACATAGAGCCCTATAAGGGCCAGGGACCCTGGGACTGTAGTGGAGGGTGAGCAGCTTTGTCTGGGGTCAGAGACCCCAAGGGACTGGGATGGATGGAGAGGAGCCTTGCCTGGGCCAGGAACCCAGGGGACTGGGATGACATGTGGAACAGGGCCAGGGGCATGGAGCCCGAAGGGGCTGGGGCTGGGGAGCACATTGGGAGGTGAAGCATTGAACTCAAAATATCCTAGGACTCCAGGCTGCAAGAATAAGAATTTCAGTTAGCTAAGCTATTACAAAGTAATGTATTTATGGGGAACTGCAGTTATTTCACACTGACAAGCTATCAGTCATGTAAGATTCTTTCAAGAGCTGTCACAGAAGTC